TTGAACCTGTTTCCCCACAGGGAAGAAGACTTCCTGGTCTCATTCCACCTCCACAAACAGAAGAGTTCTACACACTCTGCAGAAGGCTCCTCCCGAGAGGCTCATAATCAGCACTCAGGAAGGTAGGATGGGTGGTAAAAAGATTTATGCATTAGTGGCTATGTTTTCAGGAGGCAAGTGATAAAGAGATCCTGGAGGGCTTGTTGTGAGCAGTTAGAGTTTCAGAAGTTCAGTAAGGGGAAGCAAAGGTATATTGTTTCCTTTCTATTGCTTACTTCAGGTATATTGTTTCCTTTCTATTTCTTCCTTCTAATTTCATTTAATCTTCTTATTCTATTTTTAACCATAAAATTTAGATATATAATTTTAAACTGTTTGCAATAAGTGATTTGACTTTTTATAATTATACATTTCCCTCCCTAGAATGCTTTAGGTGCAGTATAAGTTCTGATATGCTATATTTTCATTACGATTTATTTAAAAATACTTCATGTGACTTTTTGACAAACAGATTCTTTAGAAAATGTTTGCTTAATTTCCAAATATTTAGGGTTATCCTGTGTATCTTCTTTTTTAATGTATTTATTTTTGAGAGAGAGAGAGAGAGAATGAGTTAGTACAAGGGGGCAGGGAGGGCAGTGAGAGAAAGAAAAACACAGAATCTGAAGCAGGCTCCAGGCACTGAGCTGTCAGCACAGAGCCTGACACAGAGCTTGAACCCACAAACTGTGAGATCATGACCTGAGCCAAAGTCAGACGCTTAAGTGACTAAAACACCCAGGTGCCCCCTAGGTATTTAATAGGCTTTTAATGTAATATAGTTGCAGTTAGAGCATATATGTATGTATGTATAATCCCTTAAAATTAATTGAAAATCTGTTTATGATCTAGTATATTGTCTTGGTGAATTTCCCATGTGCAGTTGAATTTTATTAAGAAGCTGTTGGTTTTAGTGTTTTTAAACTTTCATTACAACTTCTTGTTCAACCCGTCATGTGTTTACCGTATCCAAAAGTATGGTGTTAGTTTTCCAGAGCGGTCATAATAAGTCACCATAAACTGGGGGGCTTAAAACAACAAAAAAGATTATCTCACAGTACTGGCAACTAAAATCCAGGTGTCAGCAGGATTGGTTCACCCTGGAGTTTCTGTGAGAGAATCTGTTCCATTCTTCCTCCTAACTCCTGGTGGTTGCTGGAAATTTTTGGTGTTCCTTAGCTTATAGATGCATCTCCTTAATCTCTGCCTTTGTCTTCACGTGCCATTCTTCTTTGTGTGTCTGTGTCTTCATGTTGTCCAACCTTCTGCATGTTTGTGTCCAAATTTCCCTCCTCTTATAAGAAGACTAGTCATTGGATTAGGGTTTACCCTAATCCAGAATAACATTGTTTTAACTTAATTAGGTCATATGCGTAGATATTTGGCATTAGGATTTCAACATGTCTTTTGGGTGAGGGGAACACAATTTAACTCACAACATATGGTTATGATTTGTACTATCTTCAAAAGAAATCCTAATTTATTTATTTTTAAAATTTTGTTTATTTATTTTGAAAGAGAGAGAGAATGTGAATGGGGGAGGGGCAGAGAGAGAGGGAGAGAGAGAATTCCAAGCTGGCTCCATGCTTTCAGCTTACAGCCAAATGCGAGGCTCCATCCCATGAAATGTGAGATCATGATCTGAGCCAAAATCAAGAGTCAGACGCTTAAGCAACTGAGCCACCCAGGAGCCCCAAAGCAAATTCCAATTTATTGAGCAAAGGACATGAATAAAAATATTCCAAAGAAAACATCCAGATGGCCAACAGACACATGAAAAGATACTCAACATCACTCATCATCAGGGAAATATAAATCAAAACTACATGGAGATACCACCTCACACCAATCAGAATGGCTACAATTAACAACATAGGAAACAACAAATGTTGGCAAGGATGTGGAGAAAGGGGAACCTTCTTGCACTGTTGGTGGGAATGTAAACTGGTGAAGCCACTCTGGAAAACAGTATGGAGGTTCCTCAGAAAGTTAAAAATAGAACTACCCTATGACCCAGCAATTGCACTACTAGGTATTCACCCAAAAGATATAAAAATACTGATTTTTTTATTATTTTTTTTAATTTTTTTTTCAACGTTTATTTATTTTTGGGACAGAGAGAGACAGAGCATGAACGGGAGAGGGGCAGAGAGAGAGGGAGACACAGAATCGGAAACAGGCTCCAGGCTCTGAGCCATCAGCCCAGAGCCCGACGCAGGGCTCGAACTCACGGACCGCGAGGTCGTGACCTGGCTGAAGTCGGACGCTTAACCGACTGCGCCACCCAGGCGCCCCTAAAAATACTGATTTTAAGGAACACATGGAGCCAATGTTTATAGCGGCACTATCAAAAATAGCCATATTATGGAAAGAGCCAAAATTTCCATTGACTGATGAATGGATAAAGAAGATGTGGTATATATACACAATGAAATATTACTCAGCCATCAAAAAGAATGAAATCTTGTCATTTGCAACAATGGGGATGTAGCTAGAATGTATTATGCTAAGCAAAAGAAGTCAGTCAAAGAAAGACAAATACCATATGATTTCGCTCGTATGTGTAATTTAAGAAACAAACAGATGAACATAGGGGAAAAGGAAAAAAAAGAGAGGGAAGCAAACCAGCAGAAACTCTTAACTATAGAGAACAAATGATTGTTGGGGAGGATCTGGGAGGGGAATGGTCTAAATGTGTGATTGGTATTAAGGATGGCACTTGTAGGGCACCTGGGTGGCTCCATTGGTTAAGTGTCTGAATTCGGCTCAGGTCATGATCTCAAAGTTTGTCAGTTCCAGCCCCACAGTGGGCTCTGTGCTGACAGCTCAGAGCCTGGAGCCTGCTTCAGATTCTTTGTCTCCCTCTCTCTCTGCCTCTCCCCAGCTGGAACTCTGTCTCTCTCTCTCTCTCTCTCTCAAATTAAATAAACACTAAAAAAAAAAATTAAAAAAAAAAAGAAAAGGATGGCACTTGTGTTGAGCACTGGGTGTTATATGTAAGTGATGAATCACTAAATTCTACTTCTGAAATCAATATTATACTATAAGTTAACTAAATAAAATCTAAATAAAAATTTGAAAAATAAAAAAATAATAAGTAATTCTAATTTAATTGCAGTGCTTTAAAAATATATGCATGATACCAAATCTTTGCAATTCTTTTTTGAGTTGTTGTGGAGTCAATTTTCAAAATTTCAAAAATTTCAATTTTTGAAACATTGTATTCAAGAGAAAATAAAACATAAAAGATTCCTTTCTAATTGTTAATTGAAGTGTTCCATAAAATATTAATAAATTTATTTATTATGATGTTGAAATTTTCTCTATTTTACTACATTTTTGTCTGTTTTATCTATAAAAAATTGAGAAAAGTATATATTTTTTAAAAATTTTAAGTTTATTTATTTATTTATTTAGAGAGAGAAGGAGCAAGCAGGGGAGGTGCAGAGACAGAGGGAGAGAGAGAATTCCAAGCAGGCTGTCTATTGTCAGCACAGAGCCCGATGTGGGTCTTGAACTGACCAACTGTGAGGCCATGACTTGAACCAAAACCAACAGTTGATGCTTAACTGACTAAATCAGCCAGATGCCCCCAAAAAAGTATATTTAAAGTGCTCAATGTGATGAAAATTGGCTAATTTCTAAGAGGAGTTATGTAGATTTCTACCATATGTATGTACACATACACATAAATATTACAGACATTCACATATGTGGATGTGTATACTGTATTGCACTTTCCTTTAATGTATCATCATTATCATCATCATCATCATCATCATCATCATCTTTATCATCATTTTATAGAAACAGGGTTTATTTTATATTTACCTACATGTCTAAAGATTATTTGTTTACAAGTATTTTTTTCTCATTCTGGTTCTTACCTCTCAGAGAATACTTTCAGCATCATTATTTTTTTAAGGTACATCATATATAATTATACTGGTGAATTGTATTTTTATTAAATACACATATTTTTTTTTCTTAAGTAATATCATAAGAAAGTGATTACTAGTATTTATTGTGCTGTTCATTTATTGTATGTCCTTCCTAATATGCTGTCTTATACTTCCATAATCACTGAAAGGATTGTGTTGACATTCGCAAGTATATGTGTGGATTTCTTAATTTCTCCTTTCAGCTGTAACAGATTTTGCTTAATGTACTTTAAAGCTTTGTTATTTGGTGTATATATATTTAGGATCATAATGATGTACTGATGAATTGATACTTTTATCAACATATGAAATCCCTCTTTATCCCTAATAATTTTCTTTGGTCTGAAGTCTGTATTATCTGATCATGTATAGCCATCCCTGCCTTACTTTGTTTTCCAAAGTAATACCCGAATGATGTATCATTTTCTATCCTTTTGCTTTCAGTATAACTGTGTCATTGTATTTAAAATGAGTTTTTGGTAGATGAAATATAGTTGGATCTATATTTAACCATCATATTCAATGTAATTATTAATATGCTAGGACTTAAATCTATCATTTTATTAGTTGCTTTCTGGTTGTTTTTTTCTAGTTCTCAGTTCTGTTTCCCTTTTATTGCCTTACTGTGAGTTACTTGAGTATTTTTGGTAGAACTCCATCTTGATGTATTTATAGTATTGACTATATTGTTTTATATCATTTTTTTACTGGCTCCTTTGGTTATTAAAACAGACAGGTAAAACTTATCACAATCTACTGATAGAAAAATTTTATTTCTGGGGCACCTGGGTGGCTTAGTCAGTTAAGTGTCCCACTCTGGTTTCAGCTCAGGTCATGATCTCATGGTTCATGAGATTGAGCCCCATGTCGGGCTCTTTGTCAACAGTCCATTGCCTACTTGAGATTCTCCCTTTCTCTTTGCCCTTCCTCTGCTCATGCTCTCTCCATCTCTCTCTCAAACAAAACAAAACAAAAAACATTTTACTACTTAGAGTGAAGTGTAGAAACTTTATTTACATTCAGTTACCTTTATTATTCTCACTTTCTTTTTTTTTTTCTTGTAAACAGGCTATGCTAATCTTCTCTGTGTCATTCCAGTTTTAGTATATGTGCTAACAAAGCAAGCACTATTATTCTTACTTTTAAAACAGAATTGCCTTGGTGCACCTGGGTGGCTCAGTTGGTTAAGCATCTGACTCTTGGTTTTTGTCTCAGGTCATGATCTCGTGATTCGTGAGTTCGAGCCCTGCATCAGGGTCTGTGCTGACAGCATGGAGTCTGGTTGGGATTCTCTTTCTCTACCTTTCTCTCTTTGCCTCCCCTGCTCTCTCTCTTTGTCTCTTTCTCTCTCCCTCTCAAAAATAAATAAATAAACCTAAAAACTTAAAAAATAAAATAAAATATAATTGCCATAAGTATTTCCTCTCTCTAGATCTGAGGTATTCTTATTTTTTAATGAGTAGTCTTACTATTAAGGTTTAGTTGAGGGCTGGGTGCATATGCATTTTCAGCAGGAAGCTGGTTCCATTTGACTCTACCTCAGTGCTGACTCAAAATGCCTGGCTGCAAATGGGTAGGGTGGAATTTCTTTGGTCTCTCCACTTCCCTCCCCAAAATGAGGCACCACAGGCACCAATTCTTTGCCTCCCAATGGATGTAGGATCAGCTTGCCATTGGATCTAATTGACAGCACTGGAGGGGGGAGGACAGAGTAGCTCACACTGCCACCTTGCTGTAGTGTGGGCAGGTAGGCTCAGCTTCCAGATGGAAACAACAAAAATGGCAGAAGTGAGATGCTGTCTAGTCCCAGCCCACTCTATCTTGTTCATTTCACTGATATAAAATATAAAATAATATTTTTTTGCCAAAAATTTCAGGGACAATGGTTGGGAACTATAGCTAGTCAACAGTTCTTTGACTTGACACCAAAAGAATGGTGGATAAAAAGAAAATTGACAAGTTGTTTTTCATCAAACTTCAAAACTGTTACCTGTAAAAGACCCTGTGTAGAGAATGAAAGCACAAGCTACATACTAAGAGAAAACATTTGCAATCCATATATACAGCAAAGGATTGCTATCTAAAAATAGATAAATTTTTAAAAATTTATCAGAATGGATAATGTAAGAAACAGGGATAACACCAAATGCTGGTAAGGATATAGAGAAACTAGCTGGATCACTCCTTTATTGTTTGTGAGAATGTAATATGAAGGCATAACAGTTGGTGACTTCACCAAATAAGAAAAGATAGAAGCATTCATATGATTATGTATTAAAGATCTTCCTCTTAAATGGTCTGGCAAATGAAGAGGAAACAATGAATGAAACAGAGCAGTGAATGAAGTAGCAGAAATACCAGGATAGTATAAGGTCATAATACAAAAATAGAAACTGTCTTAAGAGGGAGGAGTCAACTTTTAAGTGGTCAGTGTTTATGAGAAATACAATTTAGAAATCATGTGATATGAATTGGTTATGTTGTCCTATAAGTTATTAATGTTAACAGAGAAGATTTTTGTTGCATGGCTGAGGGTGGATTCAAGAATCATCAAAAGATGATAAAATTCAGAAGGCTAATTAACCAACCTTTTTAAAATATATACCTGTGTGAAGGTACATTGTATAGTTAAGGATTGTGGTTAGGATGGAAAATTCAGTAAAGGAATTTTTTCTTGTTTTAAATGGCTAGAGCGTCCTAATAAAATGTGCAAATGCTTTTGAGAAAGATCAGGGAGAGGAACTGAAAGACACAGAAAATGGAATATTTCTTTCATTTGAACATGAGGTAAAAGGGAAACATAAGGGAAGGAGAAAAGTTTGGATTTATACATTTAGTCATGGGAAGCAAAGTGATTCCTTCTCTCAGTGGTTTATATTTTCTAAAATTGGATGGTGAGCTTATGTACAGAGTGAACATGCCTGTGTGGAGAATGCAGCATCTCAGAAACTAACATGACCAGCACTGTGCTGACGTTTTCTGTAGCTGAGAACAACCTTGAATTTATAGAGGCACTTACAGTTGTCAACAACAGTGAAGTGTATGAGATTTTACTCTACTTTCTCACTGACAAGGTAGCCTATTGCATTTTCATGGATGACAGTAGAAAACCTGAGAAACTTGAGTTGTAGACAATAGATTATTAATCATAGTACATCAATGGTCAGAATATCTGTACTTGCGCCTGTTCTTGTATGTTCCAATTCCATGGGGTGACGCAGACGGGACTGCCTGATGCCTGCACGTGCAGTGGGTTGAATTAAAGGGGAGGAACCATGTATTCTGGGGAGATGACTCTTTTATAATAGGTAATTGGCCTGACCTTTGCCCAGAGGGTGGTTATCTTTGTTATACTAGACAACATACAGACCATCTTGGGTCTCAGACACTGTCTCTTATTTTCCAACACTGTTTGCTATTTAACTATCCTTGTAAAAATAGTTTGGAATAAAGAGAGTCACTGCCTCCACTCATAGGCATGCAGATACATGAGAGGCATATGCTTGCAACTCAGTCAAATGAACTTCCAATGCTTTTAGTTTATTCACTGCTCTGTGTGGTCAAAGCTCATTTAAATTTACATCTAAAAAGGATGTATTCCTCTGTATGAATTGTAAAATCATAGTTAAAATCTTGGGTGTGTATATGGTATTTTTTAAAAGTTTACCCAATTGTTGCAATCATTTATTTCCTCCTACCCTTTCTGTGCTTTCTCATTCTATTGTCTTTGCTTATGAACTTTTCGTCTTAGTTGTATGAACTGTGTTGGACAATGGAATTTGAGCACATGTGACCATTGCCAATATGAGTGCATTTAAAAGTTTTTTTCTGATTATTCTTGCTTAGTCCTTTTCTGTAACGGCATGTCCCACATGGTAAATCCCTTTCAGCCTGGATTATGAAATGAAAATGAGAAGAGACGTAAAGGTTAGCCTAGGTAAGCAAACTGAAGTCAAACCCAATACATTGGGAACAAATCTAAGCCTCCCATGAGGCTGAGCCAACCCTTACCAGACCCAAGCTCTGGACAACCCATCGGAGTCAAAGCACTTCCACTATACTCATGAGTTTTACGGGATAAAACAACACAGAACAAAACTGTTTTAAAGCACTGAGATAAGATTGTTGTACAGTATCAATTAGTGAAGGTTAATACAGGGCTCATAAACTCATTCAGAAAAAGTGGACAGAAACAAGCTACACTTCAGAGTTATAGTAATAAGCAAGTTTAAATGTGTATTAGATGTCAGTCTGTAATTATGCAGAAAAATATCATTGACAGGAATTATGAAATCTAGGATTTAGCCTCTACCTTCCTATTAGCACACCATGAACTTAAGAAAGCCAATTATTTTTTAAAATTCAAGTTTTTCACTTGTAATATAAGGGAGTTGGAAAACTGATCTCCATGTTATCTCATTTTAAAATTCTATGATTGACTTTATGCTTCTGCTTATTGAAAAATAGCATATTGAACATAGACTTTATCAAGGACTGTGAAAGTTGGAGAATTTTACCTAATGACAAGATAACAAGGTAGTCTGTAGGTGGTGGCAGAATGCAAGAGATTTAGGATAGAAATGAGAATAGTTCATTTCTCACGCATCTCTTGGTTGAGATGAAGAGAGGAAACCTAAGCTTAGAACACCTGATTTTTTTTTTTATAATCAGCAGTTAATTATACTTCTCTGGAGAGAGACTTTATTTTCGTCTTCAAAGGCTTTCACTCTACAAACATCATTGGTAAACTTGTGCCGAAAAAGGCAGTCAGTGATTCTGTTGACAAGACATGCAAAAATGCAAGAGACTTGTAGAGAATGGTCTTCAAAGAAGCTTTAAAAAAATTCATGGTATAATATTATTAGTATGTTAGTACATAGAATAGCTTTTAATTAGTACAAAGTACATGGAATAACTTTCAATATAAACTAGTGTCAGAATTTGTATTGTGTAAAATATTATATACTATACTATTGGAAATTTACTTATTTCAGTTTTGCCCATTTTTATGTTTAGTGAGTGCCTATTAGGCCCTCAGTGTTACAAGGAGCACAAAATGAATATAAGATACGTCCAAATTCTGTTAAGAGGTTTAAAAAAAAAGTTCCCTGAATATCCTATTGATGAAACTGCAATCAAGTGTCAAACATGTTGCCCAAGTTGGTGCTAAGGAAACACAGTATTTAAAACAAACAAACAATCAAACAAACAAACAAAAACAATGGTTTTGGGTACCTAGGAAGGGCTTCATTACAAAGCAGGGAGTGAAGATAACAATAATGTGACCGGGGTATGCACAGATGTTCTCAGAGCAGCACCTGAAACTGTTCCAGGCCCTAACACGATATAGGTCAGGAAATCAGTTTAGTACTAGTAAGTGAGGGAGTATTAGTGAGTGTTAGTAATTAAGTTCCACAGTAACCCTTTGAAGTAGGCATTTTAAAGAATTACTGTGATTCCTATTTTTAATTGAGAAAATTGAATTTCAAGATGCAAAATGACTTCTTAAGGATGATACAGTTGACAAAGTAGAAGCAGGCCTTTAACTTCTATTTATCAACTTCTAATCTCTTTTTCTTTTGAAATGGTCACAATCACTTGTGGTAATGAACAAGAAAAAAATTTGAAGTTTGCAATATTTACAAAATTAAAGTTGTATATTTTAGGAGCACCTGGATGGCTCCGTCGGTTAAGCGTCTGACTCTTGGTTTGGCTCAGGTCATGATCTCACAGTTCTTGAGTTCAAGCCCCATGTTGGGGTCCTTGCTGCTGGTGCGGAGCTTCTCTGTTCTTCCCCTGCTTGCACGCTTTCTCTCTCTCTCTCTCTCTCTCTCTCTCTCTCTCTCAAAATAAATAAATAACCTTAAAAATTGTGTATTTTATTATATATAGTTATTTTTATTTAATACATGAGAATTTCACCGAAATAACAAAAACAGAGAACTGATTTTACAACGGTGAATTAGGAAGATCTGGAGGTGATATTACTATATAGCTAGTTAATTAGTCAGTTACAGGTCCTGCCTATCAGATGTGTGCATGTGCGTGTGCACAGATGTGTGTATGTGTGTGAGAGAGAGAGAGAGAGAGATCGATCTGTATCTTCTTTTGGTTTTCAGTTTGTTACT